CCCATAGCACACCAGGCATGCCTACAAATGAGATATCGTCTGGTGAAGTTACAAAACAGACTGACTTGCATGCCAAAGTATACGCAGCAAGTGATAGAGTCAAGCAATTCCGCAGACAGCTTATCAGATTTAAGTTCTGCAGTCCTGCCACATGTAGTTAGGAATGGTGGTGGACAATTAAATAACTTATTGGAGGAGTAGGAGGCTACACAAACACTTCAGTAATGGGGGAACCCCTACATACATATTACCCAGTGCATCAGTTAAGACTGAAGCATTCACAGCTGCTGAATAGATTATGCATCTTGGCCTCCTCCAGTGGTCTCCCAGCATCACAGCCAAGTCAGTTCACTTCACTCCACTCTTGATATATTGATATTAAGAAACAGTTGGAGGTGTTGGATACTGCAAAGGCTATAGGCCCTGACAACTTTTTGGCAATAGTACTGAAGACCAGTGGTCCGGGACTTGGTGTGGCCCCAACAAAACTGTTCTAATGCAGGTACAACACTGGCATCTGCCCAGCATGTGGAAAATTGCCTAGGTACATCCTATATAGAAAAAAAGGACAAATCCAACATGGCCACTTTCAGTCCACTTTCATTGGTGGAAAGTCTCATCAAGATCTGCTTAGCAATAACGCACAGGTTGAAAGGTTGATTTGGTTTGGCTGTCTGCCTCTGTGTAATAACTGTATGTTAATTCTAGTTTTCATACATTTATATTAAACCCCTTTGTGATACAGCGGACCTCTTGTTTACCAGGGAATAAAAGTATTTATAAATAGTACCATTCTTGGATTGAGTACAGAGCCCGATAATAATTCTTATGACAAGTCACTATGGTTTGTTGTCTTTTCAGTTGATCTTCTTTTAACATATGGAAATAAAATTAGTTATATTTTCATCATCCATTCGACTGAAGACAGTGTCTCATCTGATAATAGCTGGAAAGTTACTGACTGTTGCTATGAAAAACATTTGTCAAATGCTCTTAATACATGTATAGAGTGAAGTTTGGCAGTTTCTCATTCAATCTTCACAACTCCCATTAATAACTACTTTCAAAATCTGAACTTCTATTGGGCTTGTTTGTGAGCTCAACTTTCTATCTCTCCATGGTATTTGGCTTAATCAGTGTTTTCAACTACAATAACTAATGTTGAAGATTTAACATCACATTCAACTAACCTTGTGATAACATATAAATATATCATTTCAGTGATAAAATATGTCACTAAGACTTCATACTATTGATGGAAAAAGACATATTTGTCAAAGCTTTTCACCTTGCACTCATCAGAAAACTGTCAGAATAAAATTACAGATTACATTTCTGAAGAAGCCTGAAGTGAAATGTCTTCTCAGATATTAAAAAAAGGTCAGGAGTTGCAATTTGCATTGCCATTCCACAAAAATCCAGCCCATCGTCTCTCAGATACCCGAAAATCATCCCAGCCATTGTCAAAAGAAACGGCACAAACCTTTTTCAGATAACTACAGAACAAAGAATCTCCAGCCAACTATTCAACTGCCAAAGTCAACAATTGACTTTAATCAGAACAATTGACTTTAATCAGAACAATTGACTTTAATCAGAACAATTGACTTTTACGAGATTGTAGACATGCTCACCGAGCCAGTGGGTTTGGTTGCAAGCGTTTCATCACCCTGCTCGGTAACGTATTCAGTTTCTGTCCTGTTAAATGATCCACAACACATTGCAGCAACCCGAACTACACAAAGCAGAACTGGAACATTTATATGGAGTCTTCAAAAGAAATGTACACCCGAAAAGCACAGACCGCAGTTACGTTCAAGACAGATCACAACAGGAAGACACAACACAACCAGACTCGCTAATCACCCTACCATACATCAAGGGCATTTCAGAGATGACCACAAGACTATTCAGACCCCTAGGTATCAGAGTAGCCCACAAACCAACAACCACGCTACGACAGCTACTGACGAAAGTAAAGGATCCCATATCCAAAACCAGCAAAACTGGAGTTATATACAAAATACCATGCAAGGACTGTGAGAAACACTATGTAGGCCAAACCGGAAGAAAATTGACTATATGGATATATGAACACCAATTAGCCACCAAGAGACACGACCAATTCTCTCAAGTCTCACAATTCTCTCACACGGACAATCAGGGTCATGGATTCGACTAGGACAACACATCAATAATCACACAAGCCAAACAGAGACATGCCACGGAATTCCTGGAGGCCTGATATTCTAATCAGAACACCATCAACAAATGCATTGAATTAGACCCTGTGTACAAACCACTGAGAAACAAAACCGGAAGTAATACCAATCACCCCAGCAAACCAAGGTATATAAATAACAAATGGGACAGAACACCGATACTTCACTGGAGGTGCATAGGTGATGTTACCTAGCAGGGTGACGGAACGTTTGCAACCAAACCCACCTTGGCGAGCACGTCTACAACCTTATCCACAACCCAAGCTACAAATCTTCTCAAAAACTTTAAATTGAGTTTAATGCCGCAACGTTTAACAATCCGTTTGTCATGGACAAGCCAAAAGCTGATTTGTACTTTTCTTTTACTTTTAGCTTTTAGACTCCGTTCTCATTTCTAATCTTTGTGTATGTATCTCATCTTGTTATCTTTTCTCACATCTTGTAAGTAATAAGCTCTCTTTTGGCTGCTTTTAAACAAGTATGTTTAGCTCTTAAAAAAGTCCATAAGGGAAAGGTTTCTTCTTGATTTGATTCGACTTATTGTTGTTACATGTACCTCAGTACAGTGAAAAGTTTTGTTTTGCGTGAAGTACAGGGAGATCATAACATACAAGGATATACAGATCATAGGGTGTTTAGACAGAGCGAGGCATACAAGGTTATGGCTGCATAGGAGGTGTACAAAAGCAAGATCAACATTAGATTGGAAATTAGACAGGTCCATTCAGCAATCTGATAACAGTGGGGAAGAAGCTGTTTTTGAGCCTTTTGGTACCTGTGTTTAAGCTTCTGTATCTTCTGCCTGACAGAAGAGGTTGGAAGAGAGTGGGAGGGATCTTGGATGATGTTAGCTGTCTTTCCGGAGAAGTGTAGATGGAGTCCATGATAGTCTGGGCCATGTTCACAATTTTCTGTTGTTTCTTCTGATCCTGGACAGAGTAGTTGCTGTACCAAAAGCTACGATGCATCAAGACAGGATGTTTTCTATGGTGCATCTGTAAAGGTTAGTGAGGGTCCTTAAGGACATGCTGAATTTCCTAAGCCTCCTGAGGAAGAAGAGACGGTTTTGTGCTTTCTTGACCATTGCATTTACGTGGGAGGACCAGATTGTTGGTTACCGTCACTCCAAGGAACTTGATGCTCTCGACCCTCTCCACCTCAACTCTGTTGATGTGGATAGGGGAATGCCCTCCTCCTTTCTTCCTGAAGTCAATGATCAGTTTTTTTAGTTATGCTGACATTGAGAGGGAGATTGTTATCTTTGCACCATGACACCAAGCATTTTATCTCTTTTCTGTATTCTGACTTGTCATTGTTTGATATCCGGCTTCTTTTCAAATTAACCTTGCTGCAACTAACTGAGGGAGGGATTGAGTAAACAAGCAGAGCCAGTTCTTCCCTTCTCACCCAGGAATATAACAATTTGGGGGGTATGCCATTGTAAGGAATAGGAGATCCTTATCCAGGGACCATTCAAAACACTGTGGAAGTCTCAATTGGAAAAAGAATGAAGGCATGCTCAGGAAAACACAAATGAATGCTCTTTCAGGTTGCTACATTTGAGCCCAAAGCAGAGAGAAGAACAAAGGAATCTCTCTCTTTCTCTCAACTTATCACCTCTTGAAAGAATTGTCCAGTGAAATAGCAACCTAGGAAAACATCATTTCACTGAAAACTAAGGGTTGTACAAGAGTCACTATCAATGAGGATACAAGACAACAACTAAACAATTGTGGACTCCGGATTCAATCTCACAACTCAAGGGCTCTAAGGACTTTAGACTGTATCTGCTTTTATTGTTCTTTAACACTTCTTTCTTCTGCATTCTCACTGGTAATAAAGCCTAAACAATTCAGTAGACTTGTAGTCAACACCAAATGATTGATCTATTTGCTTCTGATCACTGTTGCTAACCACAAACCACGTTCTTGCTAAGTATAGAGATAACAAGGTGTAGAGCTGGATGAACA